TTGTTCCAAACCTGTATGAGTTTCTTTCTTCTTTCTCCTGTTTGGTTGCCAACATTCTTCAAAATATCTTCTTTTGTGCTCAACAGAAGAAAACCACTCACACAGGTTTGAAAGAACTTGTGGGTGTGTAAATGATGACAGAATGTTCATTTTTGGATCAACTACAGCGCCCTCCACTAATATTGGCACCCTTGGTAAATATGAGCAAAGGTGGCTGTGAAAATTAATTTGCATCATTTATCTTTCTGATCTTTCATTAAAAAAAAAATAATCACAAAATTCTAACCTGTCATTGAAGTAAATCAATGGAAAGTCGGGGGAAAATCTCATTATGAAATAAATGTTTTTCTCTAGTTCACATTGGCCACAATTATTGGCACCTAATTATTGCAACGTCTTTTTCCCAAGATAACAGCTCTGAGTTTTTTCCTATAATGCCTGATGAGTTTGGAGAACACTTGACAAGAAATTAGAGACCATTCCTTCATACAGATTCTCTCCAGATCCTTAAAATTCCCAGCTCCATGTTGGTGCTTCTTCTCTTCAATTCACCCCACTCAATTTCTACATAGGGTTCAGGTCAGGGAACTGGGACAGCCATGGCAGAAGCTTCATTTTGTGCTCAGTGACACATTTTTGTGTTGATTTTGATGGTTGTTTTGGATCATGGAGGGCTTGCGGCAACCACATGTGACGACCCTGGGCTGTACTCCGCTTCGTCCACAGTGAAAGCCGATCCGGTGATCCACAGTGCAAAGTATTGTTGTATTTCCTCAGCGACCAGCACGGATCAGCTCCAGGCATGACGAAGCAGATATCGTCCATTTGTTAAAATCCATGATGATGTCTCTGAAAAAGATGTCCAGGACCTCCGGCAGAAAAATAGGCCCTCAACTTTAAAGATCCAACAGTATATTTAACCGTGGGCATGGGGTACTTTTTATCCCTGTTGGCACCAAACCCATCTGGTGGGTATGCTGCCAAAAAGCTCTTTTTTTTTTTGTTTGTTTCATCTGACCATATAGAAGCCAGTCCCGTTTGAAGTTCCAGTCGTGTCTGACAACGGAATATGCTGGAATTTGTTATCGGATGAGTGAGGAGGATTTTTCTTGAAACCCTCCCGAACAACATGTGGTGATGTAGGGGCTGTTTGATGTTTTTTTTAAAGGGGTCATATGATGTTGCTGAAAATAATATTATTTGGTGTATTTGGTGTAACGAAATGTGTTTATGCAGTTTAAGGTTAAAAAAACACATTATTTTCCACATAATGTACATTATTGTTTCTCCTCTATGCCCCGCCTTTCTGAAATGCGTCAACTTTCTGACCCCAAGACATAACTAATAACTGCAAATTTCCAGCGGTGATCCTTGGATAGTCTTTGGCCACTCAAACTCTCCTCCTCACCGTGCATTAGGACAATATAGACATGTCTTCTTCCAGGCAGATTTGTAACATCTTTAATTGACTTCTTAATTATTGCCCTGAAGGTGGAAATGGAGGTTTTCAATGCTTTAGCTATTTCCTTACAGCCACGTTCTATTTTGCGAAGCTCAACAATCTTGTTCTGCACATCAGAACTACATTCTTTGGTTTTACACCTTGTGATGAATGATTAAGGGAATTTGGCCTTGGTGTTCCTCATATTTATAATCCTGTGGAACAGGAAGTCATGGCTGGACAATGTCAAGCTCCTAGTCACCCTGGTGTGCTAAAAAAAGGCTGGAGCGATGATTCAAAAACATGAAAGCCCATTATAAACGAGGACATAATTATGGATTATAATGACTTATACTGTCTTTTTACACATTGCGTTGCGCCGCGTAAACATAAAACCATGTCTGCATTTGTGATCGGAGAAATGACAAACAACAAGCCCTACTCTACACTGCCCAAAAAACTCGCTTTAAATATAAAAAATATAAAAT